GGCAAGGTCGCGATGCGGAAGGCCCAACGCGAGGGTGAGGAGGCCGGCTTTGGCAGCGCGCGGTCGAACAAGAGTGTCAGTCGTGGCTCTGTGTTTAGCATGAAAGGAGCAGAGGGGACGGACGCAGGACGCTGAGGTTTGTGGTGAGCTCCTCGCCGCGGTCGACACGGTCCTGGACGCGCTTGGGGAGGACGCCTTTGCCCTGGGCGGCGTAGACATGGACGGGGACCTTGATGTCGCCGTTGAGGAGCTTGTCGAGGTCGGCCTGGTGGGCCCCCCCCCCCCCCCCCCCCCCCCCCCCCCCCGACGACCTCGCCCGGACACTGACGCGCGCCGCCACGAACGACGACGACGACGACGCCCGTGCAGCCGACAAGAACAAGCTGTAGCAGAATTCAGGGTGCGTGTGTGTGTGCAACGGACGCAGTGCTTTTTTTTTCTCTCGATTTGGCCTGGCTCGTCTTTCGCTCTCGCTCGGACGTGCATCTCTCGAGGCGAGGCACCGAGGGAGGGATACAGAGAGACAGACAGTTCGTACTGCAGAGAGAGACGGTGTGCAAGAGAGGAAAAGAGAGAGGATGGCTGACAAGAGGCTCAGTGCGGCGGGTCCGGGTGCCGAACGACGGGCACGATGAGCGCCTGCGGCGCCGCCACCTTGTTGTGGTCGCTGCGAGCGCGCACGAGGATAGTCAGGACGACGTGCTCGGCCGACACGGAGGCGAGAGAGGAACGAGGGAGGCAGGACGCACTTTGCCCACGCACGAGCCTGCTCGAACAGGTGCGACGCGGCGAGGACGAGCTTGTTCGACTCTTCGTCGTGGAGCGCTAAGAGGGACGGCGCGAGGACGTGCAGCCACCCGATGAGGTGCGAGAGGAGCGTCTGGAACCCGGTGAAGCTGCGCGGCGAGGGGAGCGAGGTCAGGAGGCGGTCGCGCAGGGAGGGAGGGAGGGTGGAGGGAGACGACGCACTCGGACATGACCTGGAACCTGTACCGGATCGAGGAGCGGTCAGTGTGTAGTCATGCGTGCGACAGAAAGAGAGGATGGCAGGACGCACTGCTTGCTGCCGAGGCGGTGACGGGGGAAGAGCGCCTTGACGATCGTCTCGACGTCCGTCTTGGCCTGCGTCGCGTCCTCGCCGTACTTGTCGATGACGGGCTGCAGCCGCTCCGAGGCTTGCGCACACAGCTTGTGGTGCAGCTTGAGGCCGAGGCGGAGCTCCCTGTGGGCGAAAGGGTGTCAGGGATCGAGCGAGAGGAGAAAGAGAGAGGGAGGGAGGAGACGCACATCTCGTCGGCGTGCGTCTTGGCCAGCTCGAGCATCTTGTCGAGGACGGCCTTGCTGAACACGTCGTACTGCGGGACAAGGCTCGACGTCAGTAGGCGCAAGGGGCAGGGAAAGAGAGAGCGAACGAGAGAAGGCGGCTCACCTCGCCGATCGCGTCCTCGAGGTGCCGGTGGTGGTCCTCCTTCTTGTGCTCGGTGAGGCCCTCGCCCTTGTGTGCGCTCGCACGGTCCTGCTCGGCCTTGTACTGGCCCGACACGGCGTGAATCTGCACGCCGTCGACCTTCTTGATGCGCACGGCGCCGCCCTGTGGGTGTTCGGCGTGTCAGCTCTGGCTCGAGCACGTCGACCGCACCCGCGCGAGAGGAAGGGGGAGGACGAGAGTCGGGCGCACCTTGAACGTCGGCTGCTTCGAGACAAAGTCCCACGCCGACAGCGTCAACTCGTTGGCGGCGCGCGAGCGCATCTTCTTGCCGCCCTCGTTGTCCTGGTCGGCCGAGCCGTAGTGGAACGGCACAAAGACGTCGCCTCGAGCGATCTCGCCGACCTTGGCCGGGCCCTCGAGCGAGCCTCGCGCCGACTCGACGAGGATCATGTCGCCCGACTCGATGCCGAGCTCGGCGGCGTCGGCGTCCGAGATCTGGACAAACACGTCGGGTGCGGCGTCCTCGAGCTCCTTGGACCGGCCCGTCTTGGTGCGCGTGTGGAAGTGGTGCACGACACGGCCGGTGCTGGTCGAGGGAAAGGCGAGGGGCCGATTTGAGAAGGTCGATCGAGCGGACGACGATGGTAGGAGGGGAGCGGCAAGGGGCCGGGGGCAAGGTGTGTCAGGGCTCGGACGGTGCCGGGGAAGAGTGAGGGAAGAGGAAGGAGGACGCACATGAGGCGGAACGGGTAGTCGTCCGAGACGAACTCCTCCTGCGGGTGGTAGTGGCACGCCTTGAGGATCGCGCGCCCGTTCGGGTTCAGGGCCTTGAACTCTTGCGGCGAGATGACCGTGCCCGTGAACAGGTCGTGGCCGTAGCTCTCGACCGTGTCAAGCGTCGTCGGGAACTGGAAGTCGGTGTAGAGCCGCTCGCAGCCGTCAGGGTGCTCGTCGTTGCAGGGCCATTGGACGCCGCTGCCGCCGGTGAGCTCTGCGAACGGAAGAATGAGAGCAAGTTAGGGTTCCTCGCGAGCCGTGTGGGGCAAGGCGAGGGCTCACTCTCGTAGCTCATCCCGGAATAATCGACGGGACGACCCTGCGCGGCGACAAGGTCTGGTCAGGCCCGCTCGACGTCCAGCAGAGAGTGAGATGCGTGCGCACCTTGCTCGTGTACTTCCAGTGGTTGAACGCCGCCTCGGCGTCGTCGGTCCACGGGATGAGCGGGTTGCCGTCCTTGTCCTTGAAGTCCATGCGGCGCGAAAACTCGGAGAAGATCTTCATGTCGGTCCACGCCTCGCCGGGAGGCTTGACGGCCTGGTGCGACAGGTGGACGGTGCGGTCGGCGTTGGTGCCGCAGCCCGTCTTCTCGGCCCACTGGGCCGCCGGCAGCACGACGTCGGCGAGCGCCGTCGTCTCGGTCGGGAAAATGTCCTGCGCGACGACGAACAGGTCCTTGCTGGCGAGGTTGCGGCGAATACGGGCGAGCTCAGGCATCGAGACGGCGGGGCTGCGAAAGGGAAGCGCGATCGTGACGTGGTCAGGTCGGCGGTCCGAGAACGAGGCGTGCACGGGCCTCGTGCGAGGGTTCGAGGACGACGAGGTAGCTCACTTGGTGCCCGAGATCCAGAGCATCTTGATCGACCCGTTCTCGATGAACTTGAGCAGGCTCATGATGTGCGTCGGCTGGCCGTAGTGCGGGAGCGTCTTGACGTCGCTGCGGCGAGGCAAAGGGGCCAGGCCTCAGTGACGAGAAAGGCCGAGGAACAAGGAGGAGAGGACGGACATGTTCCACCGGTCGGCGAGCTCCTGCATGTGCGCCGGGTTGGACGGGTTCTGCGCGAAGGAGGGCCCGAGTGTCAGTGCGAGTTTGGCGGCGACGGGTCGAGCGGACGAGGACGCACCCTGAACCCGGGAAACTCGCCGTTGCAGCCGCACTCCCGGTTGTTCTGCGGGGAGGAGAGACGCCGTGTCAGTGCTGCCGGCAGGCGAGAGAGGCCGCATCTCGTCTGCTCCCGCCAGCTTCTTCTCGACGCCGTCGACGTCACCGAGCCGGAAGGGGTGGTGGGCGCACCTGAGCCGTTGGCTGACCGTTGAACTGGAACACGGTCGCACCCTCCTTGCCGATCGCGCCCTTGACCAAGTGGATGTTGTTGACCGCGCACGCCGACGCCGTCGCCTGGTTCGACTGGCTGCGGGCGCGACGCACTTGAGTGAGTAACCGCTCGTGATCGCGCACGGAGAGAAAAAGCGGACGCACTAGACGCCCTGCAGGCACGTCGACACGTGCCGCTTGCTGCGCCCGATCTTCTCGGCGGCCTGCTGGATGAGCTCGGCGTCGACGCCCGTGATCTCGGACACGCGCTCGACAGGGTAGTCCTTGACCGTCTCGCGCAGAGCGTCGATGCCGATCGTGTGCTTGGCTGCGGGACGGCGAGACTGGCGTGAGCGGGAGGTACGGAGGGTTTGAGAAGGCTGTCGACGAGCCGGACCAGGCCCGAGGAGCGAGAGGCGGACGCACAGATGAAGTCGCTGTCGTGGAACTCGTCGCTGTCGAGCAGGATCTTGAGGATGCCGTTGAGGAGGCACAGGTTGGTCCCGACACGAGCGGGCAGGTGGATCCCGCCGTTCTCGACGGCGGCGTGGCCGACCGACGTACGGCGCGGGTCGGCGACGATGAGGAAAGGCTGAGGAAGGAGATGAGTCAATACGCAGTGCGGGGGAGAGGCGGCTGTGCGCAGGAAAGAGAGAGAGAGAGAGGGAGACGCACAGGATTCGGGCCGGCGAGACGGTCGAGGATGCGGGACCACAGGACGGTCTGCGTCGCCGCCATGTTGTGCCCGACCATGAAGAGCGTGTCGCAGTGGTCCTGCGGTGCATCGTGTCAGCTCCATAACAGGACTCGCTGCGCACGATGCACTTCCACAGGGAGAGAGAAAGAGGGACGCACAAAGTCGACGTAGCTGCCCGGCTGGCCGTCGCAGCCAAACGACTCGCGCATTGCGGCTGCCGCTGTCGCCGTACACAGGCGCGTGTTGCCGTCCATGTGCAGGGTGCCGAAGCCGGCCTTGCCGAGGAGCGCCAACGAGTGATATTCCTCGAGCATGAGCTGGCCTGCGGACGGGGACTCGCCGGGTGAGTTGCGCGCTCTAGGCTCGACGAAGCACGAGATGAGCAACATGGGGAACGCACCAGAAGTGTAGAAGGCGATCGAGTGGGGCGTGAACTCCTTGACGAGGCCTTTGGCCTTCTCGACCATGAGGCTGAGCGCCTCGTCCCACGTCGCCGGCTCAAGCTGGCCCGTCTCGACGTTGCGGATTTGCTGTGTGCGCCGAATACGAGTAAGTCGAGTGCGGCGAGGAAGACAGGGAGGCGAGAGAGGTGTGCACGCACCGGCGTCTTGAGGCGGTCCTCGGCCTTCATCGACACCCAGCCGTACATGCTGCGACGAGGCGAGGTCAGCGAGGGGCTCTGGGAGAAGAAACAGAGCGCGGACGGACCCTTTCGGTCCAAGCCTGCCCTTGTTGATGCGGTCGACGGCTCGGCCCTTCATGCCGACGAGCTCGCCGTCCTTGACCGCGACGTCGACGGCGCAGCCGTTCGAGCACCTGTGGGGGAGGCTCTTCAGTACCTCTTTGCCGTGACGGACGAGAGAGAGGGGACGCACAAGACGCAGAACGACTGCACCCAGTTCTTGACCTGGTCCTCGGGCCTGTTTCGTCACTCAACCGGGTCAGCAGGGCGCGGTGCTGGTGAGAGCAGGAGGAGCAGGAGGGAGCGCACTCTGTGAGGACCGTGTCGACGCGCACGTCCCATGGCTTGTCGTCGCCGTGGAAGGGCTGGCGGTCGCCCCAGATCTGGTCGACCTCGGCGGACTTGCGCGACTCGGTCACGACGCCGCTCTTCGAGTAGTGGGCCAAGTTGTAGACCTTGCGGCGGGGCATGGTGTGTTCAGGCGAGCCGCTGTGGTGGAGCAAGAGCGAGGCGCCATGGTGCCCGGTGTGACGAGGCGAGCTCGACGACGTCGGTCGCGGGCCGAGGTGGGGAAGATTCACTCTTCCTCCTCCTCGCCTTCTCTCGCTCTCACTCGACCTGGCTCTGGGCCACTCGCACTCGCTCGAGCTCCCGCACGACGCGCCATGGCCGACAGCGCACCGCTCCGCATCGCCAACCTCGCCGTCGTCCTCCTCCTCGGCGGCCGCTCCTCCAGGATGGGCTCGGCCAAGCACCTCCTCGAGCACCCGGCGACCCGGCGGCCCCTCTACCAGCACCACCTCGACCTCTTGGTCGAGCTCGAGAAGCAGGGCGTCTTCCCGGCGGGCGTCGTCGTCAGCGCTCGCGCCGACCAGCGCGACCAACTCGAGCTGCCCGAGGTGCGTCTCTGGCTCTCGTGAGGCCGTCTCCTATCCCTCGTCCGAAGAGCTGACACGATCACACACCGGCAGGGAGTCGAGCTCGTCGTTGACGACCCCGACAAGAACGGCGCTATCGGGCCCGCGAGTGGCATCCTCGAGGCCGCCAACGCCAAGCCCGACGCGACCTGGCTCGTCCTCGCCGTCGACCTGCCCTTTGTCACACGCTCCTCGATCCTCCGCCTCGTCGCGTCGCACGCACGCGACTCGCCCGTCTCGCTCTACCTCCACCCGTCCGACGGCAACCCCGAGCCCCTCTTCTCGGTGTGGACCCCGCGCGCGCTCGAGCAGTTGCGCGCAAACTGCCGCGAGGGCAAGAGCGGGCCCTGTCGAGCGGCCAAGGACGTGTGGGGGGGCAAGGTTGTCGAGGGACGCGGCGGCGTCTCGGTCGTCGAGGACGACTGCGTGCGCGACGCCGACACGCCCGAGGAGTGGGAGCAGGCGGTCGCAGAGCTGGCTAAGCGACAACAGGTGCGCTCAGCTCTCTCTCTCCTTCTTTGAGCCACCCAAAACTGACCCTCAGTAGCCCGTCTAGCTTCGACCCGGCGCGACTTCCTCCCAACCTTCCGCTCCCGCACCTCCTCCCTTCGCTCCTGCACCCACCCACTCTATCTCGTTCCACACCGCCCTCGCCCTCATCGACGACCTCCCTCTCCCTCAAGTCGTCGGCGCGTCGTCAATCCCCGATCCCGCCTTCTCGACGTCGAACGACGAGCGCGCATCGCGACTTCCTCTCGTCGAGGCGGCCGGCGGCATCTCGAGCGCCACCGTGCGGGCCACCCTCCCCTGCCCGCTACACGACAACTCGGCCATGGACGGTTACGCCGTCCCGTCCTCTCTCCTCGCCACCGCCTCTCCCGACCGTCCCGTCCTCCTGCCCATCCTCGGCCGCATCGTCGCCGGCGACCCACCTCCTCCACCCGAGCTCGTCGCCGCTCTCGGCACTCACGGGTGCTGGGAGGTCATGACGGGCGCCGTCCTCCCATCCGCCGCGTTCGACGCGGTCGTCAAGGTCGAGGACGCGCACGAGGTGGGCGAGGCGGACCGAGCGGGTCGGCGCGTCGTGCGCTTCGTCACGCGTGCGACGCCGCAGCAGCATCGTCGGGCGAAAGGCGAGCAGGTCCAGCCGGGCGACGTCGTCCTCGGCGAGGGCGAGCGCGTGTCGCCCGAGAAGGTGCTCCTCCTCGCCGCGTGCGGCATCGCGCAGGTTGCGGTGCGCTCGGCGCCCCTCTCGCCGCCGCGACGTCCACGAGGGCGGGTCGGCATCGTCGCGACGGGCAAGGAGATCGTGCCCTTGGCGTCGCTCGGTCCCGGTCGCGAGCCCGCACCCGGTCACGTCGTCGACTGCATCACGCCGTTCCTCTCGGCGCTCCTCCACTCGCACGGCTTCGAGCCCGTCGTTCTCTCATCGAGCGGCGACTCTCGATCCGCGTTCGCCTCGACCGTCGCCGCCGCACTCGTCGCCGATCCGCCCTTCTCCCTCCTCGTCACCGTCGCCGGCGTCTCTCGCGGCTCGACCGACCACATCCCGTCCTCCCTCGCCTCCCTCGGCATCTCGCCCGTCTTCCACGGCGTCAAGATCCGCCCAGGAGCGCCCGTCAAGCTCGGCTTCCACCCGCCGACCCCGACTCGAGCGAGCTGCGCGCTCCCGGTCCTCAGCCTCCCCGGCAACCCGATGGCGAGCGCGGCGTGCATGCGCAGCTTTGGCGGCGCGCTCCTCGAGCGCTTGAGCGGCGCGGGCACGGCCTGGCGCTCGATGGATGCGGCGCAGGCGCGGCGCTGGGCGCAGGTGCTGCCGGCGACGCGGAGCGGGTCGTCGAGCTTCTGGACGGTGCCGCTCGACGCGCAGTCGGGCTTGCCGTCTCTCGAGTCGGCGATGGCGAGAAGGTGGACATGGCCGGGCGCGCTCGGCAGCCTCGCTGGCGCCGGAGCGTGGGTGCGAGTCGACGTGGACGAGCAGGGAGCGAGCGTGGCCTGGCGTAGCTTTTGAAATTCTCTCGTCGCCTTGCCCGGTTCTGCATCGCTGTCGAGCCTGTACACCTCTCCTATCATCGCAGAGCGTCTCGCGCAACGACCTCGCTGCCTCGCACCACTACATGCCCCTCGCGCTCGAAAAAGACGGGCACCCGCGCTTGCCGCGCTTCTCGCCGCTCGCGCTTCGACGTGCGCCCCGACCCAGGTGCTCGTGCGACAGGAGGCTCGGTAGAGGTGTCGGGCTCGAGTCGAGGAGTGTCGGCGAGGTGAGGTGGGGCAGGGAGGCGGCGCTCGGAGCGGCACGAGAGGCATCGGTGGGCGACGAGGTGGGCGTGTGGACGGGAGGCTGTTGGCGCGGCACCGTGTCAGCGAGTGGTACGAGGGAGCAGGCAAGGCAGTGCTGCACACGCACGCTTGATCCGCACGCTGGCCGACACGCCGGGCACGAGGACGGCGCTGCAGCCCTCGCAAACGGTGCGCTTGATGGCGGGGTCCCTGTATCGCTCGCGAGACTCGTCAGCTTGCATGAAGGGGGCAGGATAAGGGAGAGAATCCCACGCACATGCGCACGGTCGCCTTCTTGGCGACCTCACTCATCTGGCGGGCCAGGTGCCGAGCGACGAGACCAAGCGTGTCGCTGCCCGCTCTGGGCGGATGGCGAGGGCCTGCTAATACTGGTGCTGGTGAAGACGCTTGTGCTGCTGTACGTGTCGCCGCTGAGGGCCGAGGCGAGCGGACGGCGCGTGGTCGATGGGACTGGGGCGGTGCAGCGAGCTTGCGGGAGGGGGAGTGCACGGGTGCGTGGACGGCTGGGGGCGCTGTGTCGAGTCTGCGGCGCTTGTTCGAGTGCTGCTGGTGGCAGGCGTCGGCGAGGGCGGACGAGGCTTGGTACAGGAAGCTGAGGCGCTGGAGCGAGTCGCGGGAGGGGACAGGCGTGGCGACGGTAGGCTCAGCCGCAGGATTGCGCCCTTTCTTGGCCATGGGCTCGGCTGGCGCGGCGTCGAGTGGCAGGCGGAGCAGGTCTGGTGCGGGACGAGGAGTGCGCGCCGGCCGGTGCATTCCCAGTTCTGATCCACCTCTCGCTCCCTCTGATTGGCTCGCTTCTAGCGAGCGTGCGCTGGTCTCGGTCGAACCTCGCCTTGCCCGGCCTCGCTCGCTCGCAACGCGCCCACATGCGCCCCACCATGAGCTCCCCTGCACCGCTGCACAGCTCCGCAACCAGCACCAGGTCCCAAAGGAGCACCAGCACCCGTCCGAACACCGCCCTTGCCTCACCCAGCCGCCTCCCCCTCACCACCTCCTCGCCCTCGCCTGCGCGCGCTTTGACAGCGCGCACAACCTCCTGAAGGGCACCCTTGCCTTGCGGCACGTAGTTCACCACCACACCGTGCCGTCTGACCGGCGTTGCGACCGAGAGGCCGGCGACCGTAGCGGAGCGTGTGGTGGGGCAGCCAGGTTGAGGTGGGCGCACGCACTCGGCTCACGGCCCTCCTGCGTGGCGCAGGTTGCAGTGGAGGTTCACGTGACATGACTCAATTAAGCTTCGCTGAGAGGGGAGTCGGC